GCAGGATGCAATTTGAGCCGCACGATGCATCAGATCCGACGGCTAGATTTTATTCTCATTTCTCTCCACAAGGTGCATTCTCACGGGAACCGGCCCCTATATATATATATATATATATATATATATATATATATATATATATATATATATATATATATATATATATATATATATATATATATATATATATATATATATATATAGGGGCCGGTTCCCGTGAGAATGCACCTTGTGGAGAGAAATGAGAATAAAATCTAGCCGTCGGATCTGATGCATCGTGCGGCTCAAATTGCATCCTGCGCTCAGGTTTTGAGATAGTGCATTTTCGAAGGTTTATGGTGCATTTCGACGTGATGCATTTTCGCACCATTTTGGTGCATTTAATTTTGATGAAATCTTGACCCTTAGATCTCACAATCTAAAGCACCAAATTTATTCTCATTTCTCTCCTAAGATTGCATTCTCACCAGAACATATATATATATATATATATATATAAAATTATTTATTTATTAAAAATGTTTGAACCACAGGTTCGACCAGTAAACCAGTGAACTAGTACCTTGACCGGTTCTATCACCGGTTCGGTTCTGAAAACTATGAATGTATCATCATCAATGAAGTTTCGAGCCTTAGTACGATTAGCAGAACGATCTGAAATGGCGCAAAATCAAGAGGATCGACCAAGACAACCCTCCCGAAAGGGGAAACAATAAGGAAAAGGAAAAGGATCAACTCAACGTAAACAAACACAGAATTTACAAATTGATCCATCTCCAAGAACGAGGAAAAGGAAAAGTTGTCACTTATGTGGCAAATATGACCACACTGAAGGTGAATGTGATCCCCACCAAAGTCAATTGGGCGGACCATCAAAAGAAATCACACATGTATCAGTAGAATCCCAAACATATTAGAATATGACTATGTGTATAAGTTATCATGTTTTTGATAATAAGTAATGCAACTGTTGTGTGAAGTAAGAATATAAGTGATATGACGAATACACTAATATTATAATATTCGAGCACAAAGCTCTTTCATAATTATTGAGCAAGTCTAAAATTCCAAGGCAATTTTGGAATCATCAATCAGAAAATCAGTATTCAAGAATAATTACAAATCATCTTGAAAAGGCAAATAGTGACAAAATAACAAGTGTTATCCAACATGTTCATCCAATCATTACAATTTGATAAAAACATATATCATTGTTATACATAAGTGTGATATGCATGTTTACAATTATAGGCATGTATAAATAATGTAAAATCAGCTTGTTGACATTATATTTGTCAGAGCAACTCTATTAAGGATCACTAATGAGAGTTCAAGTTTCGAAACTATAATTACACATTCATCTAAGAAACCTAGAATGATGAATATTGTAATAGTCATTCCCCAAAATACCATTATGTAAAAACGTCAAATCTAGAAACAATTCGTTCCATCTTTTAAACAATGAAGCATAATTTGTGAAACCAACATTTCAAGCAAAGTCGTCTGAGAATGATTCTAGAAGAATTGCAAAAAGGGAAATTTTATAAATTATCCCACATTCACGAAATGCAACCCATACAAGAACCCTTGAAAACTCCAACAACATGGCAATCTTTTCTCTAAAAGTACACTCGACGCAAGTCTCCATGAAAGAAATTTAAATACGTTACAAGGGTGGGTTCATGCCCAAATGATTAATTAAGTAAATGAAAATAAATATGGACTCGTCCGTGCGTGTAGCAAAAATAACTACACGATCAGCAAAAGCTGAGGAGTGAATCTAACAAAAGAACATTAAGTGATAACCCATATGGCTATACACATATTAATACCTGTACTTAATGTACAAAAAATCACATGTTTACTAACTGTTTTGTTTTCACCTGTTAGGGACTATTACAAATAACAAGATGAACGGAAACATACATGATGATGATATGACTTGATGCATGACTTAAACTATCAGGGACACCCCTGGCTTAGTCTCACTCGACAGGATCACCCCTGCACTCCGGTTATTGTACCCGTACGGTAACGAGCCGGGCACGACGAAGATGTCGCAAGTGGACTAGCAAAACCAAGTAGTAGCCATAACCTGACTACTATGTACGTACACAAGGCCCACATGATGAAAACCCGTTGGATCCCACAGGTACCAAGACGGGCCCACTATAGTAGGCGCACGACAGCCTGACCTCCCTACATCGGTATGCACATGATGTAAAAACCTAGGACATGCGTCTAAAATGAACATGATAAATGCTTGATATATTTACCTTTGGTCAACGCCAAGAATATATCAATTTACATAACATAAGTAATGGAGATTAACATTTCATGCGACAAACGATTAGATTCTGGTTCAACGTGGTCAACGGGACTCGCTCTACACACTGCTCAGAAATCTGCCCGCGGAATGGTCGACCGTACCCTACCGGTGGTCGACCGTGGGCTACGTTATGAAGGTCTGGATGGCCGACGGTCCACCGTGGTCTTCCGTCGCGGTCGGCGATCGACCGTCACGGTAGTGGCTGGCAGACGGTCAAGGGAACGGTCCACCGTCCATAGCGGCGGTCGACCGTCCTGAAGTCAGTCCACTGGCTTTTGGCTTCGATTTGGTCCATTTTGAAACTTAACACCTAAATTCTTTTTTAAAGCAAATTTACAAACATTGATGAATATAATCCTAGTGACTCCTAGGCCAAAGTATATACGTTTTACGTAGTAAACATTTTGATGGCTAACCTACGAACATGCAAAGATTCTACGTAGGTTGCATATGATATTCTTATGAATATAACGACATAGATTATAACTAAATGTTCTAGAATTAGAGGGGACAACTACTCACCTTTAAACGTAGGGGTTGATGAAACGAGATGAACGAACAGACGTACGATGACTACGTTTCACACGAACGGCCTAGCTCTTCCTTCCTTCCTTCCTTCCTCAACCGTGCATCCACCGGAGCTTCACCAGAGACTTCCCCTGAGCTGCTGCTGCTGGCCGAAAGTAAGAGAGAGGGAGAGAAGATGAATGGTGATGATGGAGGCTTGATGATTGAATTCACAAATGGGGGTTACAAAATGGGAGTATTAAGGGTGGGGAGTGATGGGGTTTTATGCTAATTAAGAAGACTATTGAATGTGCCATGATGATGTTGAGAGAGATGAACCAAGGGGTATGGGGGGTTACAAATATTCATTTACTCCGTTATGTAAAAATCTGACCTGAACGGTACGCGTTCTTTCCCCCGAACGGGTCCGAATTGAGATCCGATTGCATTTCTGGAATCAGACAGTCGAAACAAACTTAATGACATGCTCAAATAATTTTTCTAAGAACTTTTTATTTTCCCCAACTCCGGTCTGGAACAGTAATTAATTAATTAAATTAATCAATTCTATTAGACCGGGTTGCAGGGCGTTACAACATGTCATAATCATGACACTCAACAAAAGAAAGAGAAAACAACTTCTTCAAATTAGTGTTAAGGAAATTCTCCATTTTCTTTAAAAAACAATGGAAATTCATGATTTTGTACATCATCATTTTAAATGACTTCTCACGTAAGGAAATTTTGCGGATTTAAGGGAGGAAGAAATGTAACGCCACAAAATAAGGCCTAAACCTTATTATAAAACAAAATTAGTTTTGAATATCATTTTGGTCCAATAAAGAATATTTTTACGTTCGACCAAAAATGAATGAATTTTCAAAATAATGACTTTTTTTAAAAAACTTATTTTTTGGATATGTCTCGAAGAGACGAATCCAATGCTACATTTTATGAACCAATCTGATTTATAGAATTCAAGCTTGGAATCTTGAAGTTGATCAGTTGATCGTCGGAATCGTTGTTCTTCGACATATCCAAAATCCTGGCAGCACATATCCCTCCACTTCTAAGCTATGTTAGACCTATTTAACTCCATTATTATAACATGGTTTCGACACAAAAGTTATAGCCTTACATCTTAGGAATCTATATAATCAAACGGTTTGCAATTCCGTGAAGAAACAATGGAGATATGACCAAAATACAGCAGGCTGTCCAATTGTGACGGGAATGACAAGGTTGGTGAATTTTGACGTTGTTTTCACTCCCATTCTTTTGCAAGGTTTCAGCCATTGATTTCCAGGTCTTTACCCTTAGGTTAGACTTATCAAATCATTCATCACATATGTACATGAATATATATATTAATCCATATGTTGAAATCATCCCAAAATATATATGTAATACTCAAAATATTAAGAATAAGTTTCGTAGACCTGAACGGTCGATGCTAACGGTCAACCGCTGTATTAATCTTCAAAACAAACTATTGAGGTATATAAAATAATTTCTAACTGCATTTGATTAAAAAAATATATCATTGTTTTAAGCAATAATTTATTCTAAAAACAGAGGACTTGACAAGCGTGGTAATTCCCACTAGAAATTGAGAAGGTTGCCATAAAAAGGGTATCTTAAA